GTACAATTGGGTGGTGCAGCTGTCCAGCTGGTAGGACTTCACATATTTTTGCTGGGAAAAGGGGTATATGATATAAATGTTATTTTTAATAGACACATTACTACACACAAATTCTTAATACTACTGAACAGACCTATAATTGGAAGCCAAACAAGCCACATATTTGAAGCGAGGAAAACAACCCTAATTAGTACACTCAAAGCAAAGCGAAGCGCTCACTTCTACTTTGATATGTCAAAATTAAAAAAACAATAACTGTTGATATGAAGTTTAAATGGACAATTTCATTTTGAAATAGAACAGGTGTTTCAATGAAACAGGTGTCTCAATGAAACAGGTGTTTGTGGTGCTGGCGGTAAGATTCAACAAGCAGGCTGCCAACTACAAAACAGAATTTTCATTTTTCATCGATAGCTTACATGATTTAAAGCCCTTGAAAGACATCAAAACTACAATTTAAGTAGTTTCAAAACTGTTTTTCGTTGTGTAGAAAAGTATTTCGATTATTGTAAGTTGAACATAAGATACCAGTCTTATGTTGAAAATGTTTGGCAAAATCGGCAATACCAACCAAAATTTTAGTAGGAGAGGCAAATTTGAAAGCTTTCGATACGGTCAACGGTTTCACAGCCAGCAAAAACAACCTTCAAACTAGATACAACGCACGAAAGAAAGCTAATTGTTGTTATTGTTCATCACAAATAAGCAGGTGTTCGTTTGAATGGATAACCAGGTAATTATTGCTATCTCAAATCACTTTAAAACATGAAATGCTATGTAATTCTCTGCCCAGTGAGAAGCATTCGACGTAGCCGTCAAATAGACCTCGATTTAGATGCTTTCCTCAATGTTTCTTACTGGGTAGTCACTTAGGGAATAAATATCAGAATGTCACCCTATACAAGAACATTACAATTTGGTTTTTAGACATATTTTCCTATTTAAATTCCAGTTAATATGGAGAGTGCCAAATTTGTATTAGAGAAAGATGAGACAAACTCTAAGAAGGACAAAAGCATTTGGCGAGCAAATATTAACACTCCAGATGAAGTGGAAGATTGGCTTAAGGAGTATAAAGCAGCTTCTCAAACAGACTGGATCGTGAAAGATGAACCTAAAGGTCTCCAAAGGTATGTAGTTGAAAGGGTAACTTACACGTGTTTTGCCATGTTTTTCAAACATTACAAATATTTTTATGTTTGTGATACCCAGGGTTGAATTTCATAAGTATTGGCAGTGTCACCTCAGCAAAAGAAATAAGGTGGAAAAGTCCAAAAGAAATAAAATATGTCCTGTTAAGCTTGATATCAAAATTAAAAAAATTAATCGCTTTACTATCAGAAATGACCCTAAATATCTTGGAAGAGAGATACCTTTGCCAGCAGTTATAACAATGTCAAATGATCATACTCACCCTACTAAGGGATGCTTTGAGACCCTTGGTTACTTGAGAATTTCAGAGGAAACTACTGAAATTTTTTACAAGTACTTTGATGAAGGGCTGAGTCCTGGAGCTGCTTATCGTATGAATGACTTGTCAGTGAAGCTGAGGCCCAACAGTGGTGAACTGAGAGCAAATTCTTCTGTAAATCCTACGATAAGAATGGTGCAACATTTATTTGACAATTGGAGGAGAAGTGAATTTGGACAAAGCTGGGGAACTGATCCGTTTCCTAAATTAAGAGAAAAAATCCCTGCTTATGAAGCTGAAGGTATGTTGCCTCCTTGCTAGTGAAAGAGAACAACCTTAACTTTCAATAGTGGTGTTCAGTTTATAATAAAATTATAATTTATTGTTTCAGGTACATCAATCCATATTGATGACTCTGACAGTGAGTGCTGGGCTTGTGTAGTTGTAACACCAATCATGAAACGGGCACAAAAGTTGGCTTCTTCTGGGGAAATTATTTTTACTGATTCTACCAGTAATGTAGAATTCACTCAAAGCACTTTTACACTCATGCTAACAGCAACTAAGGGTGGAGCTGTGCCAATAGCAGTGCTCATTCACAGTGCGCAAACCACTGCTTGCTACATCAAGGCTTACAAGCTGTTGAAGGATAACTATCCAAACTGCTTTGGAGGAAAAGAAGTGAGTACTTTGTCAGATGTGATTCATAAATTAATATAATGTAGTACAGAGTATGGGCTTTGGGCTTACAATGTATAATAATATTTTTATTTTTTTTTCATTTTCAGGCACCAGGTATATTTATGACTGATAACAGTGATGCAGAAAAAGGTGCAATTAAAGCAGTGTGGCCCAAATCCTTGCAATATCTGTGCCACTTTCATGTAGGCCAGTCTGAATGGCGATGGTTGAAAGACAGCAAACACAAAGTACCCCAAGAGAATCAACCAGGCCTTATGAAAATGCTTCAAAATGTATGTGTTATAAAAATGTTTTAGATTTAATTTTTACTTTTTGCACAAATAATTGAAATTTGTATCTTTTTATCTTACAGATTATGTATGCTGAATGTACCGAGCAGTATGAAGAGGCTTTGGAGACGCTTAAAAGTTGTGGTCAATCAAATTATATCAAGCACCTGGAGGTTGATCTTTTGCCTATTAAGGAGGAATGGGTGAAGATGTTTAGGCATGATATTATTAGTCGAGGACATGAGACAAATAATCTAGCTGAAGCTAATATCAGAATCCTAAAGGATGTTGTCCTTACCCGAACAAAGGCATTTAACGTCACTGCAATGGTGGACTTCACTGTGCGTATCTGGGAGCCATACTTTGAGTCCCGTTTGCTTCGCTATGCATATGGAAGAGAATCTGGGCCCCTTCTTCGTTTTGAAGAACTCTCAGGCAGAATGCCTCATGGTATGGAAATCATTTTCTGTGAAAACCTTTAAATTGTGGTATTTACGTTTCATTCTCACATCTTATTCCTCTAAATTTTTTTTAGATTCTATAAAGAAGGTAAAACACATGGGTGATGACCTTTACCTTGTACCAAGTGGAAATCCTTTAACACCTGACTTGACCTATGAAGTTGAGAGTACAATTGGGTGGTGCAGCTGTCCAGCTGGTAGGTGTGGTGCTCTGTGTAAACACCAGGCTCTTATATATGAGCATTATGGTGGAGCATTCCCAAACATGCCGGCTATAAATTGTGTAGGAAGACATGAGTTAGGGATTTTGTCTCTGGGTGATCAATGCCCACCATTATCCTTCTTTGTAGCTGTGGGTGAGAAAGTGCCAGAGGTACGGAATATTTTAATATAAATTTATTTTATAAATTTTATCATTTGCTTTAAAAATCTTAGTGTGTAAATTTTTGAACTCTGATTAACATTCTACTTTTGAAACAGGAATACCAACAAACACTTATGGATGCTCCTCAAGTAGAGGGTACTTCAACTGCCACTACAAATGAGGTAGAAGAACATGATATGCAAGATATTTCACCTGATCCAATGGAGCAATTAATCGAAGACATGGTATCACCCGACAAATGCATTGAGGAAGTAATAGAAGACTTAATTGTAGAGATAAAGAGAATAAGTTTGCTCGGTAAAAAAAGTTCATCTGATCTGGGATCATATAGAAGATCTCTCCAGCGATTAGTGCAAAGATTGGCACGAGTCAAAACACCAGGCCAGGCCACTACTACTATAATTTCTCTTAATGCCAGAGCTACTTGTACCTCAAAGAAAGGCTCTAGGATAAACGTCCAGCCAACTGCTCCTAGCCGCAGGGTCAAGAGCTCAACCAAGGGTCGAAGTAGACAGCCAGCTGGCCGCAGACCATTGAAAACACCTAAGGAAAATAGATCCACAAAAGGTTGCAGCAAGAAGGCAGTTGGACGCCCACCATCACAGCAGCCAGTGAAAAAGAGGTCAAAGAAGGCACAACATGACCTCTCCCAAAGTGTCAGAAGAAATAAGTGTCACCCAAAGGGTCATGGTCATTAGATTATGAG